CATTACATTACATTACATTACATTACATTACATGCATACATACCATGCCGCACAAGTCGTGCAAACTTCACATACCTTACAGTCCATACATAACATACATACATACATACAGACAGACAAACATACTTACGTACTTACATACATACATACGTACCATACCGTACCGTACAGTACCATACCATACCACAGGCACACACCATACATGAATACCAAAAGTACATACATTACATACAATACGTACATTCCTTACATACATACCATACAGAACATACATTACATCACATTACACTACACTGAGTTACTTTGCATTGCGTCGCATGACATTACATCCATCCGTCCGTCCGTCCGTCCGTCCATCCATCCGTCCATCCATCCATCCATCCATCCACCAAGGGCCATCAGCTGCTCATGCGCACCCCACAGTGCCGCGGGCTAGTGCGGCACCTTCCGCCCCCCATGACATCCTCAAGATCATGATGTCCTTGTTCTTGGAGGTCCCGCTATACCAGGCGCCTGCCCTCTCTTTAGATCCAACTTCTGGCTTTGGGCTCTACCTGGTCCTCTTCACCTTCGTCCCGGTCTTGGTGCTTCCGATCTTGGTGCTGAAGTCCGAGTACCACCACTCCTGGTCCGGCACCTCACATAAATACTGCGCATCAAGAAGGGCATCTCCCACTGGGGCTGGCTTCAAAGCAGCTAACCTGGGTCCCAAGTCCCACACCAAGACGGCATACCTGCTCCTGATCAACTTCATTGCGATGTCCCAGCCTCTTCGTGCTGAGGCACTGTCCTGGTGGCCCGAGGGTTGCCTCTACGGCAGGAGCCCCTCGAGCTAGACACACCCCCTTCAATTGAATGGGGCGAAAACATCCCACAAGAAAGCTTTTCGTAAGGCCTGTAATCAAGCTGCCAGAACAGGAAGTGCTTCCTATCATGGTCAACTACATAATCTCAAGAGCTTAGTTACCTGGGGGTGGACCCCACCAGCCATTTTTCATGGTCACAAACCGCCGCACCAGCAAGGCAGATCGAACTCGAC